CCAATTTTACTAATTAAGTTTTTTTCTCTCAAGAATATTATCTTAATTTATGTTTAAAAATGTAGGCAGTTTTGTTTAAACAGGGAAAAAGCAGTGATAAATGCTTTAACTTCTTTAGAAACAACTTAATTTTCATTTAGTTAACATCATAATATTACTCACACTAATAAAATTATATTACTTAGATAATAACAGATGCCCATCCTCAAATCATATTCTAAAGGATATCTTGCTTCCGTTTTTTAAAAAATTAAAGTTGTTCATGTGCTTGTTCAATTTTTGTTCTTCCACATTCAGCTATGTCCTTCATATTTGGCATTTTGATTTATTAGGCAATCTTAGTATTAAATACTTTTAGTAAATCAGTGCTAGATTTCAAATGCACTGAGCATGGTATCCATGATGAATTAATTTCACTAGAGCACAAAAGTTATCCTTATTTAAATGCTAGTTTCTTTCAGAACTTGTACATCACAGTCAAGTTTTCCAAATGGGAATCTGGCTGATGTTTCGAGGTATCTGTGTGTGGTTTCATGTTACACATGTAGGTCTTCCACACTCAACCTTTTCTTGTGTGGCTCTGCATAGGAATATATAATGCTACTTAATAGTGATCATTTAAAAATCACCAGCTCAAAATGTATTTAAGGATATACAGTATCTTTTTAATTTGATACTTTGCTTTTCATTAAGTATCATATTCAAATTCCTTTAAGTTTCAGTGCATATATTTGGTTAAAAACACTAAAAGAGATCAGGTACGGGATATATAAGATCTTTTAAGGTCACTGAAAATAATTTTAAGAAATGTTCACAAAAGTTAGGTATTATAAAATTTTTGCATGTTATTTGGCCTTAGTTTTTGAGGAATTCAGCGTTGTTGTTTCTTTCTGTTCAGTTAGATTAAATGGTTAAGATATAACCATTGGATTAACTGCTAAGGTATCAAAAACTGTATGGTGGCAAGTACATGCATGTGGACAAGGGCATATGGTGGGCAATAGAGGTTATTTGTCCCTCCTTATGTTCCTGGCATGTGTGGGCATGTACAAATAGATATATGTATATCTGCACATCTATGGCGATGATAAAGGAAGGGAGGTAGAGGAGATAGGAGTGACTCAGTGTGAGTGTGAGAAAGATCAGAGAGAAACTAAGTTGAAAAATCAGCAAGGACCAGTAGTGTCCCTGGTGGTGGATGAGATAACACAGTTACCTGTACTTGTCAAGGAGAGTTTCAAACTTTTGGACATTGCAGACACTATGGAAGGAGGTGTACGCGGGTTTCTGTTATTGCTCTGGCAAATACCGAGCTCACATAGTGCTGTTTATACCAATGAAACCTATAACTCTTAGGGAAAAAATAAAACCAACAAGTCTAGCATTCACTACTACCCTATCATAAAGTAAGGAGGTCTAATTGAGCTATATCTTTATATCCTGCTATTTGTACAAATAAAAGATCACATCTTGATGCAAAATAAACACAAAAGCACTGTTGTGACTATAACAGGGAGTCATATACTAATTTATATAATAAGTGGTTGTGCACACTTTATTCAAGATTATGGCTGCAAGAAATGGCATGAATTGCTGGGTGTGTTTAATGCTGGATTATAGCAATTTGAAACATGTCAAACACATGGCTAATGCCTCATGCTTCACTCATTCTTGCGTAAACCTGCATAGCCACCATCCATTATACCCTTGGTAACAACACAATTCTGCAAGTAAATATTGTTACACTAAGTAACCTTTCAATTCAAGTTGTTTAGGAAGAGAAAATGCAATCTTGTGCAGTCAGTTCCAGTGTCAGTTTAATGTTTCAAAAGGGAAGTGGTGTAGAGAATAAGTATCTCTACAGTGACTTGCTTTTAAAAAAAAAAGAAAGAAAAGAGAAAGGAAAGAAAACTTAATGCAGGCAAGAAAAGTCTAACTGTTATCACTTGACTGCATGATCTGAAGAGTTATTTTCTGATGTGGCTCAGAAGTTGTATATTATGAAAGATTGAAGGGTTTAACTTGCAGTTCAGCCAAACATTAAAGGAGCAATTTCCAAACTCACCTTTCCCCTTAATGATCTGGAATCTATTGCCACTGGTTTTTATAAAATGTTTGTGGTGGGATTCAGAAGGATGAATAATTTAGTTTCAATATGTTGAGGATCACAGGCGCATCCATTTTGAAAGACTATATCTAAATTTATAATTATTTCAGATATACTATAAAAGTTAAACAGTACCTCACAGAGTATAAAAGTAGTTCTTTTATTGGGACACAAATGTGGAGGTGTCACTAGAAGATACTTAGTAAATGCTACTAAGAAACATCTACATTATTCCTGTAGAAACATCTTTACAGTGGACAATCTTTCTTGAATTGCATGTTATAATCACCTAATTACACACTTGTCCTTCTTTTTTACATATAAATTTTGGATCAGATGCTTCTGTTTTGTAGAATAAAAGTACTTTCACTGCTACTGTTTTTCTTAAACATCATCATTTTACTAACTCTTAGATGATTGAACTTAAAATCTACATCACAATTTATACTCTAGAGCTTTATAAAGTCAAAAATTCCACAAGGGATAATAAAACCCTTCAGTTAATAAGAATTGGAAGTTATATAGTTCTTCATAATTGTAATAAAGATTTAGACACATGACTCTTTGCTTGTTGATGATTCTTAATTATGTTATAGCCTTGATTATAACACAGTAATACATGCAGAATTTTTTAAGCCATCCAGTTGGCCTTGACATTAACTACAAAAGGTTAGCGTTAAATACTGCACCTGTCTGTTGCGTTTGAAAATGCTGTTCTTTAATTTTCATTTTCTGTGCTGCAAACTCCACCCAAAAAAAACACAAGTATTTCACATAAAATTGAAGAATGAAATAGACATGAACATACATACATATACTATGGATACATTGTCATAAGTAAAATTTAAGCACAATATGTACAACTTATGCTTAACTGTTCCTACATCCAAATTATAATTTTCATATAACTAGTAAAGGCAATCAGACCTATTCTCTGAATATTTTAAACATTCTGCATGTAAAATTTATGCCTAATTTGAATACTTATTAGCTGCCTAATCTCAGAAAAGAGTATTAGCTTTGTTTTCTTGTTATAATATCCATCACTGTGTATCAGTTTTCATTTTGTATGATTTTTCTTTGTTAATGCTCAATAAGATGTTTAACACAAACTATTAGTTTGTAAACACATTTGATTCATACACTGTTTACAATATATAGCAAACTGCATCCTTCAAGATAATGTTGGTTTTTCGGGTGTGTGCCTATTTCTTTTTATCAGAACAGCTTTGATTTACATATGTAGCTTTTGTTATTTTAACTTCCCAGTTACTGATGTTCTTTTATAAATTAGCAGTTCTTTCTTTTTTTTAATTGACTTTTTTGAATGATAGAAATAATCTGATAATCTAGGCTTTGATGAAAGTACCTGTTAAAACGTTTATTTATAACTGTTAATTTCAATCATTGTATTAGTATTCAAAAGCTCTGTCAGAAATGTGTCAGTATGTATCTAGGGTATGTATGTGAGTGCCCATGTGTACCAGCATCTGAGGAAGATGATTTCTATGGCAAGATGTGAAACTTACATTTGCTGTATAATAAATGCACTTAAAATTGTAAATGCAACAAACAAAAAAAGCCTTAAAATATGACCAAATTTAGAATAGGGGTTTCACATAGTTTTAAAAAAAAAACCCAAAAAACTAACCAGACTGATAAGTTTAACATCCTTCTTCACTTTAGGCTAAGTAGACTGTTAAAAGTCACAGCTCATCGGGCTGTTTCTGAAATTCTCCCCGTGTAAGTAAAACACAGAAATGTGTCTATTAAGATATGGGATAGAATTCAGATGACTTTTTAAGAACCCAAACTGGTATTTTGAGTCATAGACCCTAGACGTAATGTAAAATTCTGGTTCTTGAGAACGCATTGGTTCCTTATTTACTGCAAGGATTTCCACTGATCTTGGCAGGACACCTCTTTGCCATCCTGAAAGTACAGTATATTTATGCAGTGAAAATGATAAAACATTTATTACTGTAGAGAAGGTAATATGCATAATTTATGCTGTTTTTAGCACAATCATTAGTGATATTCTTGATAGATTTTATTTCCAGCTTTCATATCTAATACATGCCTGGAAAATTAATTTTATATCTTTCATTTATTTGCCTATGTTAAAATTGAGTTTTAAGTCATCTTCAAGTGAACAGTTTGATTGCTGCTCATGCATAAGCTTAATTACTTCCCAGGAAGGACAGTATTAAATGTTTTAAATGTCAGAAAAATAAATGAATATGAGCTGTTTGATTAAAAAAATAGGCAATATCTGATGTGTTTGCAGGAAGAGCTTTTTCTTTAAATGCCTCCAAGGCAAATTTTTATTTAGTCACAAAAAAGAGAAACCCATTATACTATTTATCATTGGTTGATACCATATGATTTGTAACACCCTTACAAAATTTTAATTTTGTATGATTAGCTGTGCATCATTAAACAACAGCCTTGCCTATGATGTGCTGTAAAATTCTGACAGAATCAAGAGAGTGAATATTTAAAATCAGGCTGTATAGTCATCCGTGGTTGTCAAAGGTAGATAATAGGAAACATAGAACAGTGTGCAACCGTGCCTTCATTTAAACTGGTTTTATAGGTAGACTTTAAAATGAGGTCGTTCATAAATGCTATTGACCATGCTGTATGTATGGTATGTGACTTTGGCTGTTAAATGTAACCCCACAAAAATTGCTTATAGAAACCATAATTTCAGTGATTAGTGTCTGGATGAAAGCTGAATTTGTATTGCTTTCCTTGGTAAATGACTATTCAAGGATCCCCTCCCCCCCCCCAAAAAAAAATGCTGTCTCTATAATTGGCAGAGAGGGACATCTTGATAATGGAAGTGTGAAGGTGTAACGTGTGTTAATTGATACTTCTTAATCACTTTTAGGTATTAAGTCATGATGCAGGAATCTGCGACAGAGACAATAAGCAACAGTTCAATGAATCAAAATGGAATGAGCACTCTAAGCAGCCAATTAGATGCTGGCAGCAGAGATGGAAGATCAAGTGGTGACACCAGCTCTGAAGTAAGCACAGTAGAACTGCTGCATCTGCAACAACAGCAGGTAAGTTTTGTTTTCTTCAGTGCTTCCTTAAAATAAATAAGCTTGTTTTCTTGAATATGAGAAATGTGTTCCTAGCAAATTGAGCATCAAGCTAAAGGATGCTGAGAATTTATTTACTATTATTTGGAATAGGATTGAAGTCTGAGTAAAGACAGGATTTTCGTGTTAGTTACGTCATACCAGTACTAGAATGTCCTTCACATGTGAGGAGATTAATTAAGTGCACAGGGAGATTTTCTAAAGTACCGGTACAGATTTGTAACAAATATTTTATTGCTTCTAGTTTACTGTCTAACATTGTGCTGCAGAAGGCGATACCTCGTCTTCCACCAGAGGGCCACATTACTTGATATTTGCTTATACAGTGAATTTCTTCCAAGTCTAAGCTAAGGTGAAAAGGACCACAAGGACTTCTCACAACATAGATACTTGCCTGTGATCGTGGCAAATAGTAGCTATTAATTGGTTGAAACTTGCTGAGAGAATATGAATTATATAGATACTGTGATCATTCATGTAGCTTTCCTTGAAAATTCACTCTAAGGTATTTTGAAGTTATATATTTTAATAACATTAAATGCCCTTTTTGTCTTCTACTGGTATCTCACAAAATGCAATTGTTCTTTGTAAAATCTAGAAACATAAGCAACTGCCCAGTAATAGATAGACTTTTAAATAGTCCATTATTCTTTTCAAATGACAGATCCATTTTTCCAAATTTTGTCTGTCAGTGACATTTTCTTTTCAACTAAAGAATATCACTGTATTCGTTACTGACTCAAGTCTGCGGAAACAGTGAAAGAGGCAGAATACTTTCAATCAAATACTATTCTTAGGCCAGAAGGAATGTGTACCTGTTTGTAAAGAGTTATATTTATTTTTAAATATAGGTTATTATTTGAAAACTCTAGATTTATTCAGACTAACATCAAACAAAACAAAACAAAAAAACCCACAAACCTTAAAATGAAAATATAATGGATAATGATTGCAAAATGTTTCTAATCAAGTGATCAGTCATTCACATTTTTGAAGTAGTAGCTTTATAATGCGAAAGAATGTATCTCAAAGTAAAAAGCAATTGCCCATACTCAAGTAAAATTTAATAAAAGCAATAATTTTAAATAATGACAGAATTCTTAAAAGTTATCTTTTCGAGTGTATGGGCGGGATAATGTCAGGACCTTCCAGTTTTGTTTTTAAGAATAGTCTTTGTAAAGAACTAGACATAACACTTCGAATAGGTCTGCTATTTTTTTTTCAATTATGTCAGTTTTCCTAGACAGTTATAATTAGGAAGACAAGTTTTGTTTTATTTTTCCCTTCATAGAATCATATGCTTTCCAGCATCCCCGGATTAGCCTATTTTACAGGTTACTTTAAAGAAATGCAGTCTGGAGGATAGCCCTTTGCTTCTCTCATATATTTGCAAGAAAAATCACACCAGTGGAATGCTGTAATATTTCTACCGACTATTCTAAGTAGCAGTCCTATTCCTTCCTAATCACATTCTATTATTTTGCTTGAGAATCCAATGGGCTGCATTTATAAAGACAAGTAAAAATAACAATTGAAAATGAACATCTCAGTTGAGTACCAGTACACAATACATTATGAAGGGATGTGGTAAGAAGTGACTTTCTCTTTTTCTTCAAAGCTCTGATCAGATGTTAAATAAACAGAAAATAGTGAAAGCATAGCTCCACTTTATAGTACTCTAGAGGCACTTTGTGGTGTGGTCTGTAAGGTGGGTTTATAACCTGAGTTTGAAGTTTACTTTGTTGTACACAGTTTGTTTATGCCAGCTATAAACAATAGTAAATACAAAAAGATACTGGCTTCCAAATGACTCAAAACTTTAATCACATATTGAATGTTTGTGGAGTGCCTTTTAAAAGCCATTTACCACAGTGGGTCTACCAGACATCTCCATAAGACACCAGAATATAACTTTCCTTCCAGAAGGATTTGATCATTTATAAAATAAACATGTAAAAATCCTTTTAAATGTCTCCATCCTAGGCTATGTTTTAACCATATTAACAGTTAGATACTTAATGTTACTAGATTTCTTATCCTCCTCTGAGTGTATGTAAGGATAGGCCTTTAAGTTCAGTAAGGATTCATGTCTTTTCTATAAAATTCATGCAGTCATTGCTTTTGAGTCTCACATGTTCCATGTTTTTTAAGGTAACTAAAAAAAAAAAAAATTGGAGAAAATATTAAAAACTGCCTTCTTAGTAAAAATTGAGAAAAATGTACAAATTTACAACTAAACAGTGTCATGCAAATGCAAAGTTTTGCACAGAAGAGGTTGGAATT